CAACTTCTTCTTTTTCCCACTACCTACTTGTGTGAGTTGGCGTTCTCTACTCTGGTTTACATGAAGAACAACAGGAGGTCACGGCTCTCTGTTGAACAGGACTTGCGAGTGGCCCTCTCCTCAGTGCCACCAAGGATTACGAAAATCTGCGCGCCCCGACAGGCACATGTATCTCACTAATTTGTAAGTCGGCAAAATATTTACAATAGCACATGTTTCAATGCTGATTGCTGAAATGTTACATTTATAATTTGTAGTTCAGGCCCATGGACAGTGCAGCTTCCTTGCATTGACAGTTCTCTGTGCTAAATTTCTGCTGAGTCTTTGCCTCATTTTTTATTTTGTGACCTGTCTGGTTTAAATGAGTGTGTTGCTGCTTTGATGAAGCCTAATTTGATAAAGTTTCAAATGAATTTCTGAAATATTTCGAGTAATATAGTTGTCTTTGTCACATTTTATTTGGCATTAGTAAATAATTATGCACATTTACAGATATTTTACATGATATGAGTGATAACACGTGTTATAAGGGCTATTTTGCACAATAGGTGTGCCTTGAGATTTTTACTTGTCCTTTGGTTTGCCTTGGGCACAAAAAGTTTGGGAACCACTGATCTATAGTATCAGGATGCCTTTACACACCAGACACTCTGTGTCATAAAGGGAGGAGGAGAACGAGTCAGGAAGACTGACAGACATGTTCTTTCAGCTCTCGTAAAAAGATGAACTTTAAATTGAATGACCAGATGTTTAAAGATGTACAATTAATGATTGTTTTTTATATTTCCAATGACCAGAAATGTGTTAAATAGTGGTGATTAATATATTTTTGTCAGATCAGATTACACTTTCGGATTTAACAAAATAAATAAATAAATATTCTCAGATTATAAGGTATTGAATAATAAGGTATCCCAAAATAAATATTTATAATAATTCATATAACAATTATGTAGCATATTTGATCCTCAAATTAGACAAGTGTAATTTAAAGAAATTAATATTCTATATTCAACATTAGATAAACACAGAAGAATCTTTTCCAAGTACCACAAGTAGATTTTCAGGTAAGGCTAATAAGAATAATTAATTTAGTTAATTTGGTACAGATCAGTTGTAGCATTTACTCTACAAATGTATGAATTAAAGTTTTAGGAATGTATAATCCTTCCTTACCAGGTTTTTACAAAAGTCTTTGAATATTTGCCTAACTTTTCCTTTTCAGATTGTTAAACATTTTGAGAATTGTTTAACTTTTCCCTTTCAGATTTTGAAATGATATAATGATTGATAGTTAAGTAATGTAATTATGTTATCATGCCATAGTCTTTTGATGTAATATGTAATGAAGCTAACGTAAATATAATCCTATATTGAAGACACTGCAATTTTGCAGATTACAGATTGATTAGATCACCAGTGTGAATTTCTTATACCTTAGCTGGATCTCTTATGATCCTGATTTTTAAATGCTTTGACTAGTGTTTGCCTTGAAGTAAATCTTTAAACTGCAAGCTAGTTTGGATTTTATAGTTCGATAAGTGAGATTAACTAATGAGTAAATGTTAAAACATATTAGTTTTCAAAGAAATGTTTTTGCTATTATGTATCTGTGATTGTGCGTGTGTTCATTATTATGCTTTTGACAAAAGATGCTCCAAACACTGACGAGAGATGTTTTTTCTATTATGATTGGCTGTCTCAATCATTGTGATTGAATGGTTCAATCTTATTGTGTTGTTATTAATGTGATTGTTATTGTGTATTGAACAAATTATTATTAAAATAGGGTTTTTTAGGTTATCAAAATTGATAAAAAGAGAGGAACTGTTGGGGAATAATTTGCCCTGCATGTCCTCCTTCGCCCTCTGAGCAGCTGACCAACCTTGAGCAGCCGTTATCTCCCATAAGGAGGGGCTGCCCTAGCATATTGTTGATGTTGACAGTTTATGACCGGGCAACTCTCTGTCAGTGATAGTTATTGTTGTGGGACACCTGGAACACATCCTTCTCGGGGTGTAGATGACCCTGAGCCATAAGCGACAACAAATGTGATTCAGTGTCCTCAGCTGTTTAGTCTATCTATTGAAGAATGTTGATTATTACACTCTGAAGTTAAAACCTCGAACTACAGAAGAGTTCTTCAGAATTGATTGTGGCATCTCAACCGTGTGGTCAAACCGTGGCCTTGTGAATTCTCCGGCCTAAGCTCCGAAATAACCCATCAGTGTTTGCCATCAAAGCAGCTCTCCTCGTGTCTCTCTGAGTCCTGACTCCAATTGCTTCAGAAGTTTCCCCTACACAAAACTTTAGACTTTCAAACCTAACAAAACTAGTTTGATCTGCAGTTTGTCATTTAAAGGAAACCTATCATGCTATATTTAAATGATATATTGTAGGGCCATACCTATATAAGGTATATTTATACGTTTCTGTTTTCGAAATACCAAACAGATCATGCATTTTAGCCATGCCTCATTTCGCTCTATGTGTTGTTTGCTGTCTTCGGGTCTGATTTTGCTGACCACGCCCCCTGCAGGAGAGGGGAGACGTGCTCTGATCAGCTGCTGGGCTGTCAGAAGAGGGGGAGAAAAAGAGATCTCCGTCCTCCGTGTTTTATTATATAGAGTCGTTATTCATTTGTTTTAAAGCTCAATAAATAACAAAGAAGACCTTTGACCGGCACTTTTCTAATTTTGTCCGGAAGATTTAAACTTTAACGGACATCTTGACTGGCGAAAGTAACTGAAACTGAAACTCTGCCGCACGGTCCCCTCATTCCTTGGAAGAGGCGGAGAGGTGGGTGTTTGTCATCTGCTGGTGGACTAACCGGAGAGAATTACAGTGCTTGCCTCGACGGGGAGGGATTGCATTGCAGCGGGAGCAAACGCTTGCCTCGGGGAGGGAGAAAGAAAGCCACAGCGGAGAATAAACAGAAGGGTAACCATGGTAACCAAGTCTTCTTCGCTGCTTTTGTGGCAGACTACAGTGCCACTTACAGGCCTGGCATATGTACTACAGCGTCTCCAGCACTTTCGAACGGCAATGGCCGTGGCTGTCTCCTCCTGATTGGTGCAGTTGGCCCAATAGCCGTAGCGCCACCGTCCTGACGTCAGTACAGTGTTCAAATCTGGATCAGTTTTTATCAGATCCGTTGCAGCCCCTTTTTTAGAGATTTGGGTATGGAGGAAAATAGAGAGGGTTGTGTTTTCTGACACTTGGTGAGTTCCCTGGAACACCGGGGACACATATTCATGTATAAAAGACGTACAAAAGTGCATTTTGCATGATAGGTCCCCTTTAAGTGTTCCTCCCAGACCTTCTTTAATAATTTAACAAATAAAAAAGGGACAAAAATACAAAACAATGTAAGCTCTTATTGAGTCTTATTAGTTATTTCAGCTTTTCTCGTCCAAAACCGCATCCTGTTATTCACTATCTCCTTTTATAGACTTCTCTCAAACATCATAGTTAAATAACAGAGGGTTTGGCAAAGAAAGCGACCATCTTGGATGATTATTCCAGACAATTCCTAATATTCCTGAATTTCTCACTAGATTTACATGAATATCCTCCTATTGTAATGTGAAGTCAAAGCGGCTGAATCATTCAAATATATCAATGTCGAATACTTACAATATCAACAACGAGATCCTCTTGATTCAATTTTCTTCACTTTCAGTGTTACCTCCACTCACAAATCTTCAGGAAACATAAAGAAGATGAGATAGTTGTTCCTTTTTGCTATCATGGTTACATTGGTCCACAATCATGTCGAGTGGACTCAACTGTATTTTCCACACTGAACATGTTGTACTGATACTAGCCTCAAATTACGAAGAAACAATTTGAAAAAAGAACATGTATGAATAAATGCGAGGGAATTCAGAGATGTTAGTGGACTTTCCTGCCCTTTAAGTTGAAACGTTCACATATATTCATCAGTCCCTGACTCATGTCTGAAATGCTACCGTAACAAAGTTCAAAGGCTTCTGTGTCAAACCTTACAAAATATCCAAATCTGATAGAATTCTATCGTTATGATTTTGGTGTTCACTGTAACTGATGATAACTTCACAATATTGAACCTTCTCCCTATGTACAGTAATGTAAGAGGTACAACAAACATTATCAACAAACATCAACACTTTAGATGGAGAATTAATACACAGCTGTCTATGAATTTCACAAACTTCCTCCTACTCTGACCATAATCAAATTCATGTGATCTCTTTTAAACCACATCTAAAAAAAAAAAGATTTCACTATCAAACATTTGCAGAACCGACTGCCACACCATGTCGACCCCCACTTCCTGTGGCTGACGTTGTTTACGCACGCAGCTGTGCACTAACAATCCTCCACTACACACTGCGTGTATAGGTGTTTGAGGCGATGGAGTGCAAGAAGGTTTATCATATATCAACTATCAAACTAGATGTTTGAAAATGGAAATGTGCTTACCGCATGCCAAAATCACTGTTCCTGAGTGTGTATTCTGGTGTGCTGGGCATCAAGCATTCATGTCAGCCTGTCAACTTGCATTGCTCTCTTTTTGTGTCAAATCCTGCTGCAGAGCGCATTTCTCGTAAGGTGGTAACTCTTGGTTTTTGTTGTTTCCTCTGCTTGGTGTTAACACTGTGCAAAGGTGTCAGTGTGGTTTCTCAGAAATGTTCCTTTGCATCTGTTGATATGTATTCTAATGAGGAGCTTTTCTATATGTGTTCTGTTCACTTTGGAAAGTATCTTTCAGCTCACCAGGAGTAAGAGATTTTTGTTTAAGTTTTATTTTTAATATGCAAAACTTTCGCAGTTAAAATTCAAAATAGCTTGGATGTTTAAATGTAATGCAACAGATTAACGGTATATAAAAATTCTGATTAAAATGGTTCAACATAACTTCTTTAAGACTAAAATGTAGTCGCTAAGTAATGTTTCTAACAGTAGGGGAGGGTTCCTTTTAATATGTTAAAAATCACACAGACAAAAGACCTTTTCTTTTTGGCACCTCTTCTTTAATGACAATTATAATATATCTTCTCAGCCAAATGTAACAATAATGAACATGTGTTTATTATAGAAGCAGTCTGTCATTGTCTTGATAATGTTACATTACAATGGCAGTAAGAAAGCTACAGAAAGCTACAATGTGCAGTAAAAACCCCATATGTGAATGAATGTATAAAAATGTATAGACTATGTTAAAAAAAAGGTAAACAGTATAAAAACCATGTTAAAAACAAAATGTGTACATACTACTTTACATATTTACAAATGTGAGCCATACAACAATGTTGGGAATTATGAAAAATGACATGTGTGTAGGAAGAGTTCATTGTTGTCTATAGATTGAAATCCTTGATAAATCCCATACACAGCTCAAAAGGTTTTACATCACCCTGTGTTTGTTTTACTTTGTGGTTTTGATTAATCAAACATGAATGAGAAACTGTTTCCACAAGCAAAGGGAGAGAAACAATTTGATGTTATGAAGAACATTTGTTTTCCAAAGTGACAGCTATTCCATGCACTATGAATGTATTTATTTTGCAGGCTCATAATCTCATCACAGCGAACAGACTTCATGGTTACAAGACAAAGATTGTATTGAAAATATTTGATAATAAAAATAATTACTATCAGAGCCTCCTTGATGAGAATATGCAACGCATCTAAAATTGAATGGTTGAAACAAATATTCCATTGCAATAAAATTAAAAAAAACGATTTAAACTTACAAGCAGCTTATTAAAATGTCACACTGCTGGTTAAAAACAGTCAAAAATGGAAATTTGAAACACACATGTGGACTCTTCATGGTCCATAAAACCATAACATAATCTGCCCTACACCTTTTACATGATGGAGGTGACAGCAGAGGACTGAGACACTGTGCTCTTCCTGTATGAGCTATCTGAGAAGTCTCTGTTGGAAGGCAGAAGAACCCCAGGCACACATTTCCTCAGCAGAGGCAGGGCTCGCTTCATGAATTTTTGTCCCACAAAGGCGTAGATGATGGGGTTCAGGCAGCAGTGAGTGTAAGCCAAGGTCTCAGTCACCGTTATTGACAGCCTTAAACTGGCTTCTACGCTGCATTTGTTTGGCAATAACCCTTTAGACTTTAGAAACTCCAAGAACAAGGAAAGGTTATACGGGGCCCATAATAAGAAAAAGGCGATCACAATGGACAGGATCAGCTTGACGACACGGTGCTTTTTAGCACTCCTCATGTTCACCAGTATGGGGATGATCCTTGAGTAGCAAACTATCATCACCAGCAGAGGGATCACTAGACCCAACACATGCATTGTGAAGTTGTTATAAAGCTTCCAGTCATCGTTTTCTGGTTTACAAGCCACCCCATTGGAGTCATTTTTCACCTTTGTGAAGATGATATTCGGCAGAGAGATGCAGAAGCTCAGCATCCAGATGAACACGGTCAGGGCGATGCCTGACCTCAGGGTGCGATATTGTGCCACCTTGTGAGCGTGCATGATGGCCATGTAGCGGTCAAGCGTCATGACCACCATGAAGAAGATGCTGCTGAAGAAACCAGTGCTGTGGGAGCCGGAGGCAAAACGGCACATAAAGTCTCCGAAAGTCCATTGACCGACCCTGGCGTAGTGAGAGTAGAAAGGCAGCGTGAGGACAAAGAGGAGGTCGGAGAGAGCCAGGTTGAAAAGGCAGATGTCTGTCAAGTTGGTCTGGTTGCGATGCTTCACCAGGACACACACCACTAGGCCATTGCCTTGAGAGAGGGAGGGGAAAGATTACCATGCATCATATGTAAAGTAATGGCCTTGTTTAATTTCTCTTTCAAATTCAAATTCAAAGGGGCTTTATTGGCATGAAAGTTCAAAGAAACAATGTTGCCAAAGCATCAAAATACAAAATACTTACACAATAATATGATATACAAACAACATTAACATACATCTCAAATTGTTACATATTAATGATATATATACAGTAATACAATTACACTTCAACACACACGTGTGTCTTAGGGTGTGTGTGTGCGTGATTGTGTGTGTGTGTGTGTGTGTGTGTGTGTGTGTCTCATTCACTGTCCCTCAGGTTGTGGCATTTCTCTCTTTCTCACACACACACACACACACACACACACACACACACACACACACACACACACACACACACACACACACACACACACTCTTACCTAAGAAGCCTAGGACGAAAACAAAGCTATAGAGAGTGGGCAGAAACACTTTGTTGAAAATCAGCAAATCAGCATTGTTGCAAGGAGTGAAGTCTTCCCCAGTTCCATTGTAATAGTCGGAATAGTCATAGTTATATGTGCCGGTTGAATTTCCGTTATCATCTGCAAACAAAGAAATTCAACATTTAAGACTTATTTCAGATTGTCCATTGAGATACACTTTATTGCTTACATTGAAACTGCCAGGTTGCAGTACTGTAGTGGTGATGAATAAAACCGTTTTTGTTGGCTGCAGCATTCAACAATTATATTTAAAAAAAACATGTAACTACATCATCTCAACCAATTTCAGGAGCTAAGTTACAGTACATCTGTATTCAGTTAAACAATGAAAGCTGTTCACCCGTGAATATTCATAAAATATGAATTTATTACAATGCTGTAAACACCACAAAAAATCAGTCAAACGCAGTGTTTCTCAAAGTGGGGGGCGCGCCCCCCCTGGGTGGCGCAGAGGCATGACAGGGTGTCCAGTGGTGGTCGAGAGACCAGGAGGAAAAATGGTTTTGAAAAAACAAAATCATAATTTGAAAAATTATTGATTCGAAAATAATATGATAAGTACAGTACAAGTACGTCTGGGTCTCTGTGTTTCATTCAAGCTCGGCTCTGTGTGTGTGTGGAACGAGCCATTTTGTGCGTGTGAGAGAGAGAGAGAGAGAGAGAGAGAGAGAGCGCACCGGTACCGGAGATCGTTGTTGTTAGCTTCTGGTGCTAGTGAGTTAGTGGCCGGGTCTCAAACGTTTTGGTCACGATTAATGTAAACAATTATTTCCGAGGCACATGTTTATATGATCATTATAGTTATACAAAAATAAGAGAATAAATTAAAAACACATATGAAATACTATATGACAGTAAAACAAGAATAACGTTTAAAGGGCCCATGTCATGGCCATTTCCACTGATCATAATTCCATTGTTGAGGTATACTAAAATAGATTTATACTGTGCAATTTTCCAAACTCACATTGGTTTCTCATACAGCATCTCTGTAAACTACGTGTATTCACTGAATTTCACTCTCTGCCTTTAACGGCTCGTTGTAGCTTCAAAAGCTCCAGCCCCCAACCTCCCTGTGAGCACAGTGTGCTCTGATTGGTCGGGACGTTGTGAATCGCGCTGAGCTCCGTGGAGGTGTTGTTTCCTTGTTAGCGATACACAGCCAAACACAGCCAAACTCATCCTGAGCACACACAAAGTCACAGCCAAAGTAAAAACAATAAGTGTGGCTTGATATTGAGTAAGAAAAAGGTTGATAAACGCTGTGAGAATGGGTCTGCAGAGAGAATTTCACCGCAATCCCAACTGTCTGTTATCAGCCTGCAGCTAGGGAGGAGAAATCAGCTGAGCTGCCTGCTAACTGCACACAGATGTGTGTGTGAGGAAGTCCGTGGATTGGTCAATTTGGACCAATCAGCGGGGGCTTAACGTAACGGCTCCGCGGACGTAACGTAACGGCTCCACGGATTGGTCCATTTCGTTCCGGGTACGGCTTGACATCATGCCGTACCCGGAACGAAATGGAAGAATCAAATGGACAATGACGTATCTCCAACGAGGCGTTTTGGGGAGGTATTTTCTGTGTTAGAGTTTTACTCTTTTTTGCCAAATATCAGCATTTTCTTTCTTTTCATTTTTTTGCAAAGTGGCAAAGTATTATAACTTATTGTTCTAGCAAAGGGATTGCACAATTGTATTATGTATTTTTTTGTTTGACCACACAGACTTATGGAGCATTGTTTTATTATCACTGTTCTAGCAAAGGAATGCTCACGTTCATATTGATGTATTTTAATAAATGTTAACTTGGCCCATTACGTGACTATTTGTGTTGGGGGGGCCAGACTTTGTTTTTTCTCCAAAGGGGGGGCCTGACAGAAAAAGTTTGAGAACCATGGGGTAGATGCAGAGTAGATACACCCTAAAAGTCGGTTGTTAATGGTAGGTATGCCCTCTGCTGGTTTTAACAGGTAGTTCACTCCCTTTTAGAAACACTTAGCACATTTACAGATTAAAGGTACAATCCACTCTTTGCTTCCAAGCCAACTGCTGCATAATAGTCATACAATGTAAATTCCACATCAAAATCATCAGTTATTAAATAGCCTACTATTGTATGTAATTCTGTGTTTTTCCTTTTCACTTGAAGTTTGGCGTGTTTTTTGTATTTTAAGCCTTATAGTGTCATTTCATGTCTCTCTCTTCTAGTGTTGAGTCAACTTGCTTCATACTTTCATAGATCTTAGATGTGTTCCACAGATACAATTATTTTAGATATATATTTCAGAGTGTTTAAATAGTAACCTTATGAAGTTACTTCAGGTTTACATAATTATGCTTCAGATGTATTGCTTCCTTAACTGATGCTATTGTCTATGAATAGGTTTATACATTTGAAGGCTGTGTTTGCTCAATCTGAATAGTTTTAAAGATATTTTTAAAGGCCCTTAGATAACTGCCAAAACGTTTTTAATATACAGTTTAATGTGTCTTCAGTTTAATAAAGAAAATACCAAAATAAAATAATATTTAAGGACCTTAAACTTTGTTTTTTAAAGATCTTAAAGTCAAAAATCTAAAGAAATGTCAGTGTACTGTATTAGTGACATACAACTGACAGAACACTTTTAGACCTCAGGCATTAATAATCAGAAACAAACCAAACAACATTTCTTCAACACGCAGGTCACAAATATATTCATCAATGAATACGTTATGCAAACAAAGAGTTGTCAAAATGCATTCACCTGACATGATGATATCTCAGTGATGCCTGTTCCTCTCAGATGTAGACAGTAGCTGCTCTTCAGGGCTCTTTATTTCTCATGTAAAATGATGCACTGACTGTCTTACTTTCGGCAGTAACCTATTAATGAGTAGCATAGAAAGAGAAGTACAGCTGCTGTTTCCTGTACGTCCCTAAGTGTGAATCTGAGATCTTTATCAGTTGCCCATACAGTTTACATCTACATCAGGGCTTCTCAAACTCCGGACCAAGGTCCGGATCCGGACCGAACTGCAAATCAATCCGGACCGAACCCTGTGTCCCATTATAAAAAAAAAAAAAAATTATTAAAAAAAAAAAAAAAAAAAAAAAAAAATGTGATTCTGATAAATATATGTACATCATTGTGTACGCGCGTCTTGTGTCTGACGCGTGTCTGATTGTGAGAATGAACGTGCATATATATTTACTTGTGTGCGCGAGCGTGACACGCATTGCAGACCGCAAGTTAACCGCAAGTTTACCTTGACTTTCTAATGCTTCTAATGCCTTTTTTGCCGAGGTTCAAGGCATTGGCTACAGACAAACAGTGCCATTTCTCCCACTAGTTCAAGCCATCATACTGTATGTATGTATTGAATGTGTGTGTGTATATTACAGGGGCGCCGTTTGCCGACAGGCAAGGCAGGCAAGTGCTTGGACCAGAAGGGGGCCCCCAAAGAAAGTAGATTAAGAAGGTCCACAGCAACGACAACATGAAACACCCTTTAATTTACTGCAACGACATGTCGGGAAACCCCCTCAATGTTAAGAAACATTTTCTTAATTTCAGTTTCGTTGCACCGCTCCGGGGGGGGGGGGGGGGGGGGGGGGGGGTGACTTTACTGGCATTGACCCGGACCAGTGACCTTGTATAAAGTTCACAAGTGGACCTTTAATAAAAAAGTTTGAGTACCCCTGATCTACATCTTTTGTTATGTAGACAAATCTTTAACACATTGAAAGCAACCATAATATTTAACCACAGTCCAGTATGATTCTAAAAACATATTCCTATTAATTAGGGCGTGCAAGTATGTCCCAAACATTTTTGGTGACACAGTGACTCTTTTATTCGATACATTTACCTCCTAGCACTATATTCAAAAGGGAATTGGTGGTGTCCATTTAGATGTTTTGTTTTTGTTTTATAGGCACATTCTTTGTCTTGTTATGGTTGTCATTATAGTGGCCTATTGCTTTTTCACATCTGACTTTTCTCTATCTTACCCTATGTAAATCACCAGGTACATTAAGCTGTAAACTGTCTATGACTGACCTCTGCTGGTCTAGAACGATATTGTTGTTGTGCAGGGAGGTGTTTGATGGGCAACAGAGCACAAAGCATGCTGGGAGAAACTTGCCGGGAGAAGATATTTGAATTCATAAGAGGCTTCTCAATACTCTAATTTCCCCTCCTCTCTCCTCGGTTCCCCTCCTCGAGTCCTCCGCTAGCATCTCCTGTGGGCGGGACTAAGTCTCGAGGATAGGAGTCGAGGAGGGGAAATTAGAGTATTGAGAAGCCTTCATATCATTTCAACGAGACAACGGCTTTTTCCAAAACATGTAAACCCAACGTACAACAACAACCACCACGATATTAATAATAACACTATAACAATAACACCAATGTCTATTACTTATATGTCTATCTCTATATCTTTCGCTGTGAAGCCACATTTAGTTTGTTTGTGTACATCTCATTGGTGCTGTCGCTTTTCAGCTGGCGCTCAGTGAATTCCCAAGGAGGATGATTGACGTGAGATCTGCTGGCGAAGGCGGGCTCGAGGGAGCGTCATCAAGTTAGAAAAGCACAGCTGCAATAGACAGGAAACCATGTGGCATTGCTTTCAAAATAAAAGTGGACTCTCTCAGGGGGTCAGACATGCTTTGCGCTCGCACGTTATGGATAAACACATGAACGCATATCAGATACATTGATTACAAATAAAAAACTGAATAGTAATAATGTCTCTGGCTGTAAGTAACTCCTCTGTTGGCCATACGTAGCCTACCCTATATTCAAAATCCAAGTGTGTGTGCCCATCATCCAATAAGGTGTGCTTTAGTAGTTGGTATACTTGTATAATCAACAAAAAGAGTAAACATTGAAATAAGAATACATTACTCTTCGATTTGATTGTGTTATATGAACTCTTATTTTGGAAAAAAAGACCGGAAGTTGAATGTATGGATGCAATTGTCTTGACAATGCTCGAGGGTAAATCAACCAGAGGGACTGCGAAGATTATATCAAGTGGATGTAACTCAGTCTCTGATAATGAGGCTGTATTGAAAAGAGTAAGTTGGACTTAATATAGTCAATATGTATCGATAATTAGGTCGTAAGTAGCTTTCACAGACACTTTGCGGTCTTTCTGCTTCAGGTCAGGCAGGACTGTCATCTCTGCGCACTGTCACTTGTTGGACTTGTAATAGAACATATCAATTGTTGTGTTTTTGCCAAAAACGATTCCTTTTTTATATTTTAAAACGGTAAGAAAACTGAGTCCAGCAAGCAAATTAAAGTTATATGTGCTAACTCGCAGGTGGTGGCATAATGGAAATCTACCGAGTTTAACGACAACTGCGGATTTTTGGATCCCAGCTCGAGCACCGCTATCATCTGAAGTTGGAAATCACTGCAATGACTGACTCCTCAAAACCTCCTTTAGGGTAAGTACTTAAATAATAAGTACAGAATAATCAAATGAATTCAAGTTCAATATTATCCCTCCGATGGTTTGTGTAACTCAAAATGAACTGTTTAGTTAATCTAACCTGGGTTTGACTGCTAAAAAACGATGCGCACATTTAACGGAACATTTGTCTACTCTGCATTATGTGTGCAGATCATCACAGTCCTCAAACAATATCTCTTGTTTGCGGTTCTCAGTGTGAAGTTTCTCGTGACACTACACATAGCCTATAACATGTATTACCATAATATTTTTAGGAAACGTTTACGACTATAATTGTGAGTAACAGTCATTAATAACCGTAACTTCATTTGTCAACACTTGAAAAGCATGTGTGGTCTATATTCTATATCAATACTGACAACACAGAGAGTGTTCCAGCAGCCAGGCTAACCTGCTCTCCATTTGCCTTCTGTCTCTCCCTCACACACACACACAAACAAACACTCACACACACACAATGAATATATAGCTCTGGAGCAGAGCAGAGAGTAACAGTACAGTTGGTTTTGAGTGGATGGTAGACAGGCATGGCCTTTATCTGTTGGAAAAACAACAGCAACAACTGCAGGTGCTGTCCACAATGTGCTCATGATCTGTTGTTTGGGGTGTGGCTGGAGCTTGTGTCTCTGGCATGTTCATCAGCTGTTAAGACAACATGGTACAGTAGTGATGCTTTTTCCATTCATCCTATCTGTTCATCACATGTGTGGTATTTTTGGAGATGTGTCACCTGATCACATCAACAGATCAACCTTTAATCATCATTGACTGTACATTACATTTGATTCCACAGTATGCTACCGTTAAGAACAATGTCCATACAGTTTAACTCTGACTCGTCTGGTAATTTTCTCTTGATAGAATGGTCAAAAAGGACCCATTACAGCCTTCCATGGCCTACTTTTTGATGTGTTATTACAATGGATATGAGTTAGTTAATGAGGTACTCACTGATAGGGTACATTGGGGCTTCTTATTTTATGAGATGTCAGACAAACGTGATATCAGCATTGTTATTATTGTTTAAATATGTAGTTTTCTTGTGTCCTGCTGTCATTAGGCCTGTCACAATAGCTTATTTTTGTTGGATGATATACTGTTCCATTAATAATTGCGACAAACAATAGTCTTGTCATTTTAAGACAATTTTGTACCACTGATATTACATAATCTAATGGCATAAAAAGAGCGCTCTTTCAATGAGGTATTCACTTTTAATTCTTAAGATCATGCAGACATTTAAATTGGATTGGGAAAAAACAATTAAATACAAAATAAATGGATAAAACCACACAACATAAAAAGTAAATAATTATAGTAGCAAAAAGTATTATAATGGTTAACACAATGAGCAATACAGAGTGAAAAATGTATTAAAGGCATGCGTATGTGACGTACCATAAGTAAATCATATTTTATTGTGATGGGCCTTAAGGCGACTCTACCTTTTCTATCTATCATGCTTGAGCTCTTCTGGACCCTTTTAATAAATGTATCTACACTGTACTGTATGTTTGTAGTAAAGGCTCAACAGAAGTGTAGCGCAGATAATACATGATGTGTGTTCTTAGCAACACAATTATGCTGTGATACTGTTTTGTTTTGAATTGAGGTTTGCTCTACTTCTCCCCTGATTTTTCAAGTAAAGGTCCCTTTAACCAGATACTCTTAAATACAGTGTTTCAGACACTCAAGAGCTTCTTGGCCAAATTACAAAGTAGTCTGGTTTCACAGTCAGCTGGCAGTGGACCAGAGATGCCGGTCAGTGTGTGACATTTCTGCCCACATAAATTACCATGATGACTCCCTTTGTGTTGTGATTTCTCTTCCGTCATCACACAGTGAGTAACTACTTTACAGCATAGCCCAGCCCTAATAAAACACAGGTAATAAAAGATGCATGAAGTCAGTGACAATCATGTGTGCGCATCAAAGCCTTGTGAGTTTATTTTGGTTACATGGTTCAGTCCCTATGATCAACCACCCAGACCCTGACGTAGACAAACACATTTTTTGCCATTTGTCGATACGCAGGCTAGGTGCATTTATTTTTTCTACATAATTCCTCAAATCGTTCATAGAATACAAAAGCCCCAACCACTCTTAACATCCTGCTTTGTGTTGCCATCTGCCTCGCTGATGGTAGGTCAGACATTTGACGTTAAATGCATCTGTTTAGTTTTAAAACTCAACCACAGGAAGAGCGGGCTGGCAGATACTCCAGATAAATACAGTATGGGATTACATATAACTGTCTGTTTATCCTGAGCACACACACAGAGATAATGATTGGCTACCAACGGTCCTGTTAGCCTGTGTGCACTCATGAGCACTGCACATAGAGAGATATCAACACCAGTTGCTAGCTGCAGTGTAAATGCTCATCAATTTAAAGCTGTGCCCACTAGACTAAGATGTCAGTCTCACCCTTTGCATATATGCCATGTGTGTCTGTCAGTCCATACTGTGTGTCTTAAAATAGTCTCAGGGAGAGACATTGTGTGATAATGGAATCCCTTAGTGCTGTGTCTTTTCCTGCTGAGGTCTCAAATTATGGGGCACTAGCTCCACACCCTATCTTTCACAAAACTCCATTTAGAAGTTAAGGTTCCTGCGGTCAGCCACGAGCTCAGCCGTGCTGACTCAGGGATCTCCCTCTCCTTTTTTTTTCTCTTTTTCTTGAAAGCTGTACTGTATTGATTTTCCGAAAAGAGGAAAATGTTTCAGTGAATGTGGTCACATCTGGATATGTTGGGTTATTTTTATGATGGGTTAAATTGAACTCCTGTGAAAGCTGATATAGGCACAGAAGGAGTATTGGAGGCTATACATTTGTTGGCAGCAGTACAGTTTGCATCTGGTAACGTCTGCATTCACTTCACAGGCTGGGCCTTCCCGTTTTAAATAGAAAGGGAGTGGATGCAATGCTTCCAAAAGCATGTTCTGTACGGGAGAAGCCTGAGCAAAGCACACTCTTAGATGAAAAGTATACATTTTAACCTTTGCTCATTTTAAGTGTTTCATAAGAAAGAAACATAGCGCAAGACTGCGTGTTAAAACTTTTGCATTCGCCCATGTATGAGTTATTCCTTAAGTAGTTAATTAAATGTTTCCATCATTCACATTTTATGAGAACGTCCTCATCTTTAAGTAATGTGTCATAATAACCAATTTCAGCAACATCTAGTGTGGTTAATGAACACTAGGAATAATAACTAGGTCATTGGGCTCCACACATTAAAGCAGTACCAGCTCTCTGACTGTATTTACTCCAAAGCCGTGCCATGATACATCGGAAACATTTTAGACATCTAATCCGGCTGTATTAATAGATTGTTCTGCTCCTGAGGCCCCACTACATTTACCAACCTTTATTCTGCCTCTCTCTTTAGTGAAAGAAGCTGTATAGGTCATACCTTAACTACAAAGTGTGCCTCGATCTCAAGTATCTACAGTGTATCAGTCTGTACTATTATTTTGCAGCTGCTATGGGCTGCTCAGATTTATTTCTGGAAGCCTGCAGTCATATGTTAGTCACTGTGGTATGTGGGTTTGTCAAGAGCGGAAGACAGACGGATCGCATGTGTGTGTGCTCAGATTGGACGGACTCCTCTTACACCATCTGAAGGCCATAGCAGAGGTATCGCCTGATAACGCTGAGGTCGCGGAGTGCTCTTTCTGTCGCACAAGTTGTGATGGTTTTTGAAGCTTTTTAACACCTTTGCTATCTTCTTTATTGACAACCACTTTGTGCCACGGTAATCAGCTACAGGTGTCAAGTTGACAGAAGCTATGGAAACATGGCTGTTATTATGTGTTGGCTTTCATTTAAAAGGGCATCATATGTTTCGATGACCTGATGATTGGATGGTAAAAGAGCTTTTGCCATTCAAAAAACCCTTAAATGTCTGGATTCGGTGCGGAAGACCTGACACATTTTTTATTAAAGGTTCCCACTTATTTGTGTTGTATGTTTTTTAAATCAAAGGATCCTTGGGTGCCCATGAGCATCACCCGTAGAGCAACAATATCTGTTTTTCTTCTTGTTTCTCCACAGCCAGAGCTCGATCTAATTGAACAATTTGCTTAGGGAATAGAGAACGGACTAATTATCATTTCCTGCTATTATGTTTCTACATTCCATCTCTCCTTCCTTTCGCCTCATGTTAGACTCTACCAATCTACCCTTTTATATTCCCTTTCTTGTTGATCTTCGGCCTATGGGGCTTTTTGCCACCTGAGATTCCCTCTTACCAACCTTCGTTATCCCTCCTTCCCTTTTCTCTTCTGTTCTTCTTCTACATTGGGCCCGTTTGCCACCCACAAGCTTTACTGTACTGTAAGTCTGCTTGAGCTGCTACCTGGTGCACAATTCATACCTTTATGTCTTGTTGTACTTAAACTGTACATGCTTAAAATGTAATTCTTCTTCCTCATGATAATATTTCTATAGTTAGAATATGTACAGGACACCAGGAAAATGTTTTGAAATTACTTGACTGAGATTCTCAATCAACATTGAGCTGATTTAAAATGTAGAGTGGCTGGATTTTTACATTTAGTGTAAAGAGCATAAAGAAAACATGGTTTTGTATTGTATTTAAGTCACTTCAAATCTACCTCCATGTATAAAGGTGGTTAGTAATGAAATTGTCTGAATGGAAACAACTAGGATGTTAAGAAAGGGTTAGGATTCAAAAAGGTCTACAGAAGTGTCAGTCATATTTGATCAAATAAGGTCTTCTAAGTGATTTTCTTAAAGCTTCCTTGAAAAAAGGGAGAAAAAGTCTTCCTGCTCCTATTTTTGGAGAATGATTATTGTCTGGGAACATGTCTCGTGTTAATCTGTCACTGCGTGCCTCTGTGTCACTGGTCACAAGAGGACAGGAGGACTGGAGGAGGAAGTTGGGTGTGGTGCTGTTACACTAAGTGGATTTCTCTCTTTTAAGTAGGTGTGAAACAGATACTCAGGGA